TGCACTTTGGCCACTGAATTTCTATCCAAGCAACAGAGACAGAAAAATGGAAAGGGACGTTGGATCATTTGTTTATTCCAAGGGCCATCCCCATGCCAAAGGTAGGCCCAGACCAGTGCAGCAGTACATCTGGGTTCAATTACATCCTTACTTTTCAAACCACCTATACAAGGGAACATGCCATCCTGCACTCCCACCCCTTCCCTCCATCCGTCTAGTTAGTCAAACTCCTTTACTCAAATAAATGCATTTTCCTTATTGCCAAGACCATATTTTTAGTTTACAGAGAGAATTATCGGTAGCACAACCATTGTTTGAAAGTTCCCTCAGGGTTGAACCACTGCTCTTAGGAGGAAATACCTTTATCTTCTCTTTATGGATGTTACTCCTCCTAGAAAGAGCAAAGCATGGCTGCTAAGGGGAAGGTGGAAGGAAGACAGGGTTGTGAGGAGAAGGTGCCTCTGAATCCACCAGGAATGGTAAGCTTCCTGAGGATGTTTCATGTTTCTATTAAAGGACCATTTTGCAGTAAACTCAAGAATGGATGAGAACAGAGAGTTTGTGGAGGATCCTGGCCAGACTACAGCAAGTAGCATTGAAGGCAGAGACGGGTAAATTATGCCTGGGGATGGGGATGGGCTTGTGGAAAACCATGATTTTGGAGATTCTTGGCATGAGGGGGCTGCCTGTTCCAAGTCCGAGATTCCTCCTTCCCCAACTGGAATGGAACAAGGTTTTAGTGGCAGAAGAGGCAGGGAGGTAGTGTTGTGTACAGCTGGCTGTGGTTTCTGGCCCTGAGCTTAAAGAAAGGGCTGTCTCCCCGAGCTAAGATTACTGATAGTGCTGCTTCAGCTTGATAAGCGGCACCCAATAAGAGTTTGAGAGCAATATAATATCAAGTCAAAATGTCACTGAGGAGACAGAACTTGGTGAGAGGTTCAGTTGAAGCTTGTTAAATGCAGGAGCTCACTCTCTGAGGAGTGGCTACAAAAAAAGAGATAAGCTTGGAGAAAGCCCACAAATGTGAAGTGCATTTTAAAATGTGAAATCTGATGCGAGCTCTCAAAATGCTCCAGCAAACAAGTAAAATGTCATTACCACCCAAAGCAATCTACACATTCAATGCAATTCCAATCAAAATTGCACCAGCATACTTCTCAAAACTAGAACAAACTATCCTAAAATTTGTATGGAACCACAAAAGACCCTGAATAGCCAAAGTAATATTGAAGAATAAAATCAAAACGAGAGGTATCACCATCCCAGATTTTAGCCTCTACTACAAAGCTGTCATCATCAAGACAGTATGACATTGGCACAAAAAGAGACACATAGACCAATGGAATAGAATTGAGAACTCAGAGCTGGACCCAAAGGTATACAGCCAACTGATCTTTGACAAAGCAGGAAAGAATATCCAATGGAAACAAGACAGCCTCTTTAACAGATGGTGTTGGGAGAACTGGACAGCAACATGCAGAAGAATGAAACTAGATCAATTTCTCACACCGTACACAAAAATAAACTCAAAATGCATAAAGGACCTGAACGTGAGACAGGAAACCATCAACACCCTAGAGGAGAAAGCAGGAAACAACCTCCTTGACCTCCACCACAGCAATTCTTACTTGACACATCCCCAAAAGCAAGGGAATCAAGAGCAAAAATAAACTGTTGGGACCTCATCAAGATTAAAAGCTTCTGCACAGCCAAGGAAACAACCCAGAAAACTAATAGGCAACCAACGGAATGGGAAAAGATAGTTTCAAATGACATATCAGATAAAGGGTTAATATCCACAATCTATAAGGAACTCACCAAACTCCACACCCGAAAAACAAACAACCCAGTAAAGAAATGCGCAGAAGATATGAACAGACACTTCTCCAAAGAGGACATCCAGATGGCCAACGGACACAGGAAACGATGCTCAGCATCCCTCCTCATCAGGGAAATCCAAATCAAAACCACACTGAGATACCACCTCACGCCAGTCAGAGTGGCTAAAATGAGCAAGTTAGAGAACTCTAGATGCTGGCGAGGCTGTGGAGAAACGGGAACCCTCCTACACTGTTGGTGGGAATGCAAACTGGTACAGCCCCTCTGGAAAACAGTGTGGAGGTTCCTCAGGAAATTAACAATAGAACTCCCCTATGACCCAGCAATAGCACTGCCAGGAATGTACCCAAGGGATACAGAAATGCTGATGCATAGGAGCACATGTACCCCAGTGTTCATAGCAGCACTCTCCACAATAGCTAAAACATGGAAAGAGCCTAAGTGTCCATCAACGGACGAATGGATCAAGAAGATGTGGTTTATCTATACCATGGAATACTATATGGCAATGAGAAAGAATGAAATCTGGCCTTGTGTAGCAACATGGATGGACCTTGAGGGTGTTATGAGGAGCGAAATAAGTCAGGCAGAGAAGGACAAATATCATATGTTTGCACGTATAGAAGGATTAGGAGAAACTTAACGGAGGACCATGGGGGAGAAGAAGGGGGGAAATGGTGGGGGAAAGAGAAAGAGGCAAACCATGAGAGACTCTTGAATGCTGACAACAAACTGAGGACTGATGGATGTGGGGGTGAGGGGGGTTGGGCATGGAGGAGAGCACTTGTGGGGATGAGCACTGTGTGTTATATGGAAACCAACTTGACAATAAACTATTTGTAAAAAAACAAAACAAACAAAAAAACACCCAAAATGCTCCAGCAAACAAGGAATCTATCCTTCAAACTCCACCTGACAAATCTCTCCACAGCTACATCTCCTGCCTGACAGCACCTAAACCAATGGTCCAGGGGTCCCCAGCATCAGCACAGTGGGTAAAGCTGATACAAATGCAACATCTCACTCCTTGCCCCAGACCTACTGAATTAAAAACTGTGAAGGTGGGGGCCAGCGATCTGTTCTTTAACAAGCCCTCCAGGTGATTCTGATGCATGTTCAAGTTTATTTAAAAATTTTTAAATGTTTATTTGTTTTTGAGAGAAAGAGCAAAAGAGGGGGAGGGAGGGGCAGAGAGAGAGGGAGACACAGAATCTGAAGCAGGTTCCAGGTTCTGAGCTGTCAGCAACAGAGCCCGACATGGGGTTCAAACTCATCAACCATGAGATGGTGACCTGAGGTGAAGTCAGACATTTAACTGACTAAGCCACTCAGCCCTGCTGTTCAAGTTTATTTTAAACTATGTAGAAAAATGTTTTCTCCCTAAGTGGAAGACAAGTGTCCCAGGGATGCAGTCATTATGAAATTTGAGAAATCAATACTTGAAGCCAGAAAGCTTCAAGGCATAAAAGTTTCATGGTTCACAGAGCAATTAGAAACACCAAAGTTGTGTGGTGCCTGGGTGGCTCAGTCAGTTAAGTGTTGACTCTCGATTTCAGCTCAGACCACGATCTCATGGTTTGCGAGTTCAAGCCCCATATCCAGCTCTGGGCAGAGCCTGCTTGGGATTCTCTCTCTCTCTGCTCCTCCCCAAATCGTGTGCCTGTACTATCTCTCAGAATAAATAAATAAACTAAAAAAAGAATTCTAGAAGTACCAACGTTGTTGAATTGCGGTTGTAATAGGAACATGGCGTGACAGGGGCAGGTGGTTGAATGTGGACTTGGGGAAAGTAAAAATGCACCAAATGAGATAATTACTCCCTACATAGTGGGAGCATCAAGAAAATGTCATATCAAGTAGCACAAAAGATCTCATCTTGCAAAAGGTGGAATGTTGGTGCTCCATATACTAGTGTAAAACTCTCTTGAGCCAAAAGGTAAGGGGCTTGCAAATGAGGACATACCAACCATTGTTCCATCTCAAACTCTATTCGGGTGAAAGGTCAGGGGTTGAGCAACCTAGCTCCTCCTGGCCGCAGCAAGCCCCTGAGATGTAAATCTTTAATTGACACTGTGATTAGAACGGTCAAACATGTTCTTCAAGCAACTGTTAAGCCACCCCCCTCCCCACTTCAAACCGCAAAATTCTCGCTTCTGTACACCGGCTTTGCCGCCCCCCCCCCCCTATATAAACCTTGAATTATGGCTCGATGGCGCGCTCTTCCGAGGACTCTTTGGGTGCTCAGGAGAGGCCTTCCGGCCGGACTAAAATAAACCTGAATAACCAACTCCTTTTGTGTTTGTGGGCTTTGTCCTCGGTGATTCTCCTTTGGAAAAGGTGGTCTAACACTAGCCCTGAGAAGCAATGGTAAATGCCTCCCTCTCTCCTCTCCCGATTCCATTTAGAACTGTCCTTGGGGAGCAAGAAATGAAGCCAGGATCCACAGACCTAGTGGGGTGAGAGTGATTTCTCAGTGGAATTCATGATAAAAAATGGTTTCTGTTTTCTGGGCTAGCTGCTTTTCCATCATTTTCACTGCTTGCCCTTCATTTTATATCTGGGCTGGATTAATTCCCAGAGCATGAAGTCATTTTCCTGATAGACACTCTCAGCGCTGATTGGAAGGAGAAACAGAAGCGGATTAGTGGGGTTTTAGTTTTTGTCCTGATGCAATTTGGATTGTCCACTCAAAGGCATCCTGGAGTTTTCATTTCTTGTTTCTCATCCTGGATTTAACACTTGCAATGTTAATGAATCCCATTCTCTTCTCTTTGTCTTTTCCCTTTAATAAATAGGTACTGGCACATACGGATGAAATACCTGCTATGTGCAGTGCGCAGTGCTAGATGGCCCGACGAACCCACATTTTCATCCCATCTTCGCCAACATTTGAAAAGGAGTGAACTGTAAAATAGCTCTTTCTTCATACCCTTGTCACTATTTTTTCTGGCTTTAGTTTTGCCTTTGTATGTTGCTCTTCAAGTGAAGAAATTGGGATTTCCATATTTTTAAGCTATTTGTGAAAAAAGCCGGTGATTCTCAGAAAGCAAAGAGAACACAAAAATACCCTTTTGATGAGGGAGCATAAGGCAAGCTGAGGGCCAAGCACAAGCTAGCACCACTCCCCTCCCCCACCAAGGGGTGGGATAAGTGTAATATTCCTCAGGCACTCCTGGCTGCCCTAGAACAAAGGAAAGAAAACAAATGGTTAACTGATAGAGGTCACAGTCCTGCAGGACAAGAGTCTCCCTCAACTTACAAATATCTTAGTAAATTACAAGAATAAGGAAATCTTATCAATAGCCTAATCTCCAGAAACTTATAGACTCAGTTTCCTGGAGCCCCTAATATCAATCATCCTCCCCTCCATAGTGATGTGGAGAACAAAGACAAAAAGGAAATGATGGATAAAATTAAATTTCCTTATAACCTGCAGTCAATTGGCAAATACTTGAGGCAAATACAGAGTCTAACATTTCTCCAGAAAACCTGTATCATCTTAATGTCAACACCTTACTAGAGGAAAAACAACCTTCGCTTGACAATAGCAAGGCCTCAGGTATTTTAGGAGTCCTCCTTAGCATATCAAAGTCCTTCTGGAAGGCCTTTTGCCTTTACTTCCCCCAACTCCATAGAATATAACAAGTCACTCTGCACAACCCTGGTGCATCTCTTTCAGCCCATAGGTCCTGCCTTTTTGCACCAAGGATGTCTCAAGAATTCTTTCTTGGTCATCAGCTCCAGACCCCCACCACTCCAAAGACTCATCGCTTTCACAGTGGGATTGTGGCCTGGCTCTAGTGCTTTGTGTTTGTTACTGTTCTTTTTTTAAATGTTTATTTATTTTTGAGAGAGACAGCATGAGCGAGGGAAGGGCCGAGAGAGGGAGACACAGAACCCGAAGCGGGCTCCTGGCTCTGAGCTGTCAGTCCAGACCCCGATGGTGGGCTCCAACCTATGAACTGTGAGATCATGACCTGAGCCAAAGTCGGATGCTCAACCGACTGAGCCGCCAGGCGCCCCTGTTGGTTATTGTGCTAGGACAAGGGGGTGGAGTGAGTTGTTCAAATAACAGCTTATCACTTCCACTCCTTATTGTGCTATTTTGCAGGGCGGTGGAATAAACCCCTTACCACTGGGCAGTGCCACGGGGCTGTTTGGGTCCTGGCAGGCATATACATAGCTACCCAATCTCTGGTCTATTGCGTTTACCAAGGCAACTGAGACACAGTGGCAATCAAACTATCACTCCTCCAGGCTGAGATGGCAGAGATGGCCATACTGTAAACACAACGGGACTGCGGCTCTTCCCCACCATATTTGTATTAAATATGGAGCAAAATTAACCATTGTAATCTATGTCAGACAGAAACTGAGATTACAGTAGTTTTCAAAGTTTGTGAAGCAGAAAATCTGAAGCTATAGTACAACCTCTTTTCAAGATCACCAGAATCATTTCAGAAAGTAACTTTTATGTGGTAAATAATGAGTATTAGCCTTATTTATGCAGAATCCAAGATAGGAAGTTGTATGATTTAGCACAAAGATGCGCCAGATCTCTAATCATCTTCGTCTGTAAATTCCTAACAGTCTACGTTTGTATTTCTCTTTAACAAGGCAACACCATGTTTTTCCTTTGTTAGATTCATCTGCAAGCAGGTTCTTGGGAATCCATTTTGGGATGTGGGCTAAGATGCTGTGCAGTGTACTGACTGGGAATGGAAACTCTGGGAATCCTGGTGTGTCAGCCTACCTGGTTGGAGTCCCTTCTTGCCTGATTTGTCACCGTGTGACCTTGGCGAGATGTTTACCCTCTCTGAGCCTCAGTTTCCCCAAAGGTGCTGTAGGGTTACATGAGATAATGCACGTCCAGAATTTAGCACAGTGTCTGGCTGAAAAGCCCAATGAATATTAGATACAATTTATTTTTTGTCATCAATTAAATGCCTTTCGGTTGTGTTTGTTTCACCGTTTTTTCTTTTTATGCTAAATCTAGCCAGGACAGTTTTTGCTCTGGGTTTTCTTTTCTCTCCCGAGACCTGGCCCTTCCCCATCCCTTTTCATTGCCCTCCTAAAACCAGGAGAAGGTGAGGATGAAACAACCATTCAAAATGAAGTCTGCTTTGTGTTCATCCGTTGGGAAACGGCTTTGATCACAGCCGTGCTGTGGGTGTTTGGCAGACTGCCAGCTTCTTTCCATGAGAAGAGGCATCTCTGAAGGTTTGGCTATTTTAAAAAAGGAAGGGAAGAGGGCAGCTTGTGGGTTCCTCAAGGGTGTGTATAAATGACACCTTTCCTCCTCCCAAAGCTACAAGGGGCCTCCCCTCGTTCCAGAGTCAGGGTGTCTAGGTTTCCACGCTTCTTGTTTTTCTGGGCTGTAAGCTGGCAGGGAATGCACAACACTGCCCTTAGCATTCTGGTGGTTCACAAGCACAGTGCTGGTCTCTGGCCCTCACTGGAGTCGGCTGGTTGTCTCTAGCATACAGAGGAGACTCAAGAGCCAGCCAGCATGCACCTAAAGAGGAGACAGGAGGGCAGGGCCTCCTCCTCCTCCTGGGAGCCAGCCCCAGGGAGCCAGCCCCAGCAGCATTATGTAAACGACTTCTCGACTTCTCGGAATTGCCAGCCTAGCCCTGGTGAGACTGGAAGATCACCCTGCAAGTGGGCCAGAGGCCAGCCTGACAGATGGCCGGGGCTGCTGCAGCACAACCCACATTAGGCCCCTCAAGTGTGTTCCCTGAAGGCAAGTGGCCCAGCCAGGATATCCAGGGGGACAGCTAGGGCAGCAACGTGGGTTCCCAGCTCTGCTAACCCTTCCTCCTCAACAGTGCTGTCTCTGAAGGCGAAGGGGCCAGCTTTCTCTCTTTCCGCTTGAAAGCACATCTCGGGGCCTCATGATTTTGGGTTGATATCTGGCCCAGACTCTACATGACAGCCCCTCACACAAGCGGCCAAATGTTTCCACCCAATGAACCAGGTACTACAGTGTTAACAAGGCTAATAAAAGAGGAAAGCCTACTTGGAAACTTTGTCCAGAAACCCTGTGGCTTCTATAGACTAATAAGAAAATGTTGAACTTTCAAATTTCATGATTTCATATCCTCTAAGACCACAGACCTCTTACCCTGTTCTCTTTTTAAAGCATGAATCCTTTTTTAAAATACTTAGAAAGTAAATGTGTAACATTTTTCTCCCTTACATTTGTAATAAAGCCTGGGGAAATTTAATGTTCCTGGATTCAGCCTGTGGGTTTGAGATAAGGATTCTAGGAGAGAAGCCTTTTAACTCAGAACAGAATCTGTTCGCAGCTATTGTTCAATTAACGTAAAGTATCTGGTTACTGGGTGTGTTGCATAATGCATGACAGGGAAAACCAAACCTTTTAAGTGCTGACACTGAACTCCTCTATAACAGTGAAAAGTGAAGTAAATTGTTAATTTTTTTAGAAGTCCCCTAAAACAAAGCTTCTCAAGACTGAATGATTCAACACTTTTCAGCTGAGAGGCAGCCAAGGGATGTCCCTGTGTGTGCTCGTGATGATAAAAAAAAAAATCTAGAAGGAAACAGAAAAAACCACATGTCATGTCCTCTTTAAGAGCCAGAAAAGCTGTCAGAAGAATTAAGATTAAGCCTCACGAGAGTCTGTGGGTGTGGAAAGTCACCAGCTAGCTAATATTAACATAGCCTGCAACAGAACGCTGTTTCTAGAAATAGGACAATCGCATCACTACCGCTAAGCAATTTGCATTCTGTGGACCAGCCCCTACATTCCTCCTGGCTCCTACTGCCCTTTGGGCATTGCATTTCTGGACGCTTTTCGATGGTCGGTACTCAGACTTGGCTGTCTGGTTTCGCCAGGAACCCTACCCAAAAGAGGAAGCAGCAAGGAGAAGAACATTTGTTTTGTTCGCAGGAAAGTGATTGAGCTACAAGCAAATCTTTAGGCATCTGAGGAATTGTGAAGCTTCTAGACTTCATATGGTTGTCGACAGGGTGGGGCAGACGAGAACCTTCTTACTTTCCTCACCATGGATAATCTGTTGCCTCAGTCTAGATTCTCTTATTTCAAAAAATATCCTCTCCATGCAATTAGGAAATATTTATCGATGCTGAGAAACCAAAAAACTGAAGAACAGGTATCATCTTGTTTATATTATCTTTAATGTTAACGGGTGTTTGTTTTCAGCTGTTGTTTTTACTATGTGCCTTAGTGATTTAGTTGCTGCTAGTTTACATGTTTATAGGCTCCTGCTTGCAGCTTTTCAGATTTAGCAATCTCAGAAGCAAGCAAGCTGGTGAAGATTTATTTGAATTTGGAACATTTGGATTCTGACATTAAGCTCAAGTTCTATAATAAAATCAGGAGCTTTTCCTTCTTCTGAATAGCTAAACTATCCTATGAGAGTTAAACTGTAGACTCCTTGATAATTTTCCAGGGCCTCAAATACAAAGTTTAAACTATTCATATCTTGACAAATAAAAGTATTAGGCCCTAGGAATATACTTGTCTTGTGTATGTATTTATGACTATGTTAATATCACCAGGATTTGCAAAACAAAAAACATTGTGTACACTGTAAATATAGTAGCCTCAAACAGATCACTAATGAGCTGTGACAATCATTCAGAAGTAACTAGACACTTTTTTTGTGGAGGGCAAGTTGTATGGCACTGCAGTTTTTAGTCTTTTTAGCCAATCAAAAATTAGGGTTTTTAGTAGTAGACTCTAGCATGTGGGAGTATATACATTAAAAAATTGGTTAAAATTCTGGATCACTTCTTGTTTAACAGCATGCATTCATTTTATTATGTTGAGATTTATTTCATTCTATCCCTTACAATCATCTACGAAAAGGCATTTCTAAAAACTTGTGTTTCTGAGTTGTACCAAAATGTAAGAAGAAATAGCTGTGTCTGATCTATTGAAATCTAGTGGCTCGTTTAGAAAAAAGTAGGACTATGGTAAAGGACAAACGTATAGCAACATGGAAGACCCACGAAGTCATAAACTGCTTGCACATCATGTTTATAATTCGAATTGCAAAACTATGTGGGAGATGTTCGTAGTGTTTTGTATTTGAATGAGGTGACCTACTTCATAAAATACTTCCAGGAAGTGGAAGCAAAGGTCAGCAGACAGAAAATCCTCTAATGATAGGTTTCCCAAAAAGTCCGTGCTTAATTTGGAAGATGAAAGTCATTACTACTCTTCCAGAGGAAACTGTGTTCGTGCTGTGCTTTAATGATTTTACAAGAGCTGGAACTTCAAATTGTGCCAACTCAGGGGGTTGGGGTGGTCCAGTTTATCTCTTACTTAGGCCAAGTGCCCTGATTACAATCTCTCTTTCCAGTCTCAGCACCTGCTTGCTTTCGAAGTGGGAAGCCAGAGACCCCGCGGCGGTGCTCTGAGATGTTGTCTGACACGCTCACTAAATCCACCTCCACAGGCCTCCTCAGGCTTCATTACTGTGGGGAGCGGGGAGTGGCAAAAAGGATAGGCCAGAACTGTGGAAGATGAATTCAGTGATTTTTCGCCCCCTTTTCTCAGTGCTACAAGTATTCAAAGATGTGTCTACAGTGACTGTGCAGTTTACTGTTTTGTTTGTCTCAAAAAGGATACAAAATGCATTCTGAAGAACATTAGAATGTAACATGAATTGTCAACTTGGACTGGTCCCCTCCCCAGTTGACAACCATTGGGGATGACCTGGGAATAAACGTGAACATTGTGCTGAGTTTTTAACTTTCTGTACAAATTGATGGAGAAAGAAAGACAAATAACACATTCAGTTCTTTTCTGAAACCAGTTAATAGCTTTGCAGACAGACAGTCTCATAGAATTAGAGAAATCAGGTCAGAGCCAATGGTGGCTAATCTTGGAAAGCTTGTTGGAAATTATAGCTATAAAGAAGGTTAACGACGTCTATAATTTTAGGACCTCATATTTGTTGTCTCTCTAATGCTTACAGTCCTGTAATACGGACTTTCATTATAAAGGTAAGGGAAGTAAGATAAAGACCTGAGTGCTTGCCCAAGGCCGTCTAGCCAGAAAGTATTGAAGGAAGATTGGAATTCCTGTCTGCCTTGCTTTAAACTTGACTCATTTTGGGGCGGCTGTCTTGCTCAGTTGGTAGAGTATGCAACTCTTAATCTTGGGGTCATGAGTTCCAGCCCCACATTGGTAGTAGAGTTTACTTAAAAAAGATAAAAAAATGACCAATATTACTTACCATGTTTAATCTCTGAATGATCTATACCAACACAGTGAAAGCAACATAGCAAACTGCTAACCTTCCTCCTAGAGTATATTTCTAACGCTTCAGATGTTCATGGCATAATTCTTACCATAAGTTTTGTGTGATTAACTTTTTAAAAAAATTTTTAATGTTTATTTATTTTTGAGAGAGAGAGAGACAGAGCACGAGCAGGAGAGGGGCAGAGAGAGATGGAGACACAGAATCAGAACGTGGTATGATTAACTTCTTAATATTTTTTCTAAATTTGCATTTAAATCACTTCCTTTTTTTTTAACTTTTTTTGTTGTTTTTATTATGCGCTATTTTAATATACTACATAACCTTCTAGAAGGGGTAGGTGAGTATAACCAAGTTATTTTTCATCACTCAGGAAAAGGCTTCCTTAGTCAATATTCTCCAAACACTCTGACACATAGTAACACATAACTCCAGAAATGCACCTATTTCCTTCCATCAAACTCCACTGATGAGAATAACAGGCAACCCTTTTCTCTTTGCCCTTGTTAGTGAACCTGTGGATGTGTGCAGCGGCTACGCTGGAGATGAGCAGGCACGTGGCTATGACGCCTACCCCAGGCAGAATCTTAAACCACATAGCGCCACGGTTGCAAATCACTTACTTTTTAACTTGTTTGTTTAGAAAGAAAGTTTTATATAACTACCAAAAGTGGAAAACCACTGCCATTTACTATAAACATAAGAGGAACATAAATATAATAAAAACAGAATAGTATTAAATTTTAGACAGATACTGTTACCTTTGAAACCTCTGAACCTGAAACTTACATTTAATGTAGTGTCTGCATGCTACCTACAATCTTCTCTCATGCCATCTAGCACCGTTGGGTTCCACCCACGTTGTGTTCACACACTTGGAGAATATTATCCCAGGCACACCATCTGCTTCACTTCTGTGCCTTCAGAAACACTCCTCCCTATAACCTAGACTTCTGTCCTTAATTTACGATTTGCCCATCTGGAGATCGCCTATACACCCTTTGGAGACTCAGATTAAGTGGGCTCCGTAAAAAAAACCTTTCTTGAACTCTGCTGGGAAGAGTAAAACACTTTTCCAAGATATTCTGTCTGTGCCCCTTACTATATTGTATGTAGTAAGCCATCACTTACATGTGTATATACGTGCACCCATACACACATGACACTGGGTGGTATCTCGTTCTTTGTTCTCTCAGACCCACCTTAGCCTGGCACAGGGTGGTGTAGGAGTGACTCATGACACAGGTAGCTGCCCGTGGAGCACACCTCCTTTCTTGCCTCCACCCGTGTCTTTTTTTTTTTTTCAGATATCGTCAGCCTCCACCCATGTCTTCACGGGGCCTGGAGGGTCCTCATACATCCTGGTCACTGTTATATTTGCCTTGTCCACAGATGCTTTTTTGTTTAAAGCTTCTCCTCAGGATTTTGCACTTGGTGTCATACAAACATGAGGGTTTGACCGAAGGGTTTGTTTGTTTGGTAGTTTTTGTTCTTATTCCTACTGTGTTAGGCCAATCAGTGGGTGGCCAGGTTATTTACCAAATTGTGAACAAATATCTCATACTTTGCGTTCCTGAATTCTATTAGAGCTGGCACTTCACAAAGCCACGTCCCTAAGTAGGAGATTAAGGTCATTAATTAGATGAAGGTGCAGAAGTTTGGGAAAATTACACAATGAAACATTTTTGAACAGTACTCTTCAAATGGTGGTGATGTGTGGCGGTGTGGTGGTTGGGGTGGGGGTGGGGGGTCTGGGACACGGTCTGAGCCTAAGTGTGTTCTCAGATGAGTTTGGGCAGGTGGACTGAGCACATTCATAAAGGTATTTGGTTTGATGGGAATGGCCAGGGTCTGGCTCAGATGTAGATGTCTGAATTTGTGGGAAATGAACAAGGCTTGCAGGCAATGCTGTCTTGAGTACTAGGGATGCAGCAGCCTAGTATGTGATTTAGGTGACCAAGTGGGAGACTGAATGTGAAAAGGAGACTGTTTCACTTCTGGGCAGACTGTAGACAGTGGCTTTAGCCCTGTGAATCCTACAGAGGATTGAGTGCCTCAGGGAATGCTGCCTTTAAGGAATGCTGCGCAGAGGTTAGCACTAGTGATAGAGATATTATTCATGAATGCCAGCACCAAGTGATAAGAAAACACAGTTGTGAGCTTAAATGGGACAGTCTACTCTCTCTCCATTGGTGAGCTCCTCCATTCCCATGGCTTCAAACACCCCGTTTGCTGACATCTCCCACATATTTATCCCCAGTGCACTTCAGCCTATTTGACATCCCATCTGAATGTGGATGTTGCAGATTGAATGAGAGAACTCAGAAGCTCTGTCCTCAAACCTGTTACTCCCAAGGTCCATCAATCAGCACAAAAGCTCAAACCAGAAACATGGGAGTCACCTTGGTACCTCCCTTTCTCTCCCTCACCTCCCCTTTGCAATCTTGTTAACAAGTCTAGTCAATTCTACTTCTAAGATAGTTACCGAAACCTACATCTTCACCTACCAACTCTGCTTCATCATCTTCTTTTGCTTGGACCATTACAATAGCACTTGAATTTGTGTCCCCACATTCACTCTTGTTACCCTACCTTACAAGTTCCTCATAGCCATCAGAATTTGTTAGGTAAAAATCTTTTTTAGCCCAGTGCAGGGAACATGACTGTTTTCACTGGCTATCTTAGCCCTAGTGCCAAACATAAATAAGACACATAGTAGGTGATAAATTCATATAACTGAATGAGTAAATGTGGAGGTTGGAGAATACAGAGGCTGAGGATGTTACTATGCAGGTGAGGGCAAGAGATGGTGAAAATTGGATTATTTTTAGTAAACAATGGCTGGTGAGATCTAGGGAAAACTATGCAATTTATTTTATGGATGTGGAACGAGAGCTTAAGAAGTTTGCCCAAGGTCACACAGCTTATTTGAATCAGTGCTGGGATTAGAATTTGGCCTGCTGTCTCCCAGTTCAGTGTTGTTTCCAGCATGTGTTGTGAGTCTTAGCAGAGATATAGAAAGGGGCAATATGACTACCACGCAAAGAGAAAAGGATTCTATAGGCTGAGTCCAGAGGGCAGGTAATGCCTGAAGGTCAACTTGTCAATAATAAATAAACCCCCCTGATGAAAGACTAAGACAGAGAAGGGTCAACTAGTTTGAGCTTTTGTCCATCAATTTATACTGCCCTGCAGTAATCTTACCAACTTGAATTTCTTCTTCTACGTGTTCCACAGATGAGGGGTCAGAAAATGCAGGATGGATAATTAATAGACAAGGTTCTGTGATGATCTGTGCTGATGGTGCTTTGCTCTCTTGAATAGAGAGACTTCATTCTGAACAAGACATATCATCTATGAGCTGACCTGACCTTCTTATTTAACAGTGTATCTGCTTAAAATAAGATCAGTCTTTGGGGCCAGGGGCATGTATAAAAACCATATCTATCTATATATATAGATATAGATATAATATGTGCATATATATATATATGGTATTATATTGATATTATATATGTATGTATTGGAATTAGACCCTTGAGGGGCGCCTGGGTGGCTCAGTTGGTTAAGTGTCCGACTTTGGCTCAGGTCATGATCTCGCAGTTTGTGGGTTCGAGACTTGCATTGGGTTCTGTGCTGGCAGCTCAGAGGCTGGAGCCTGCTTCAGATTCTGTGTCTCCCTCTCTCTCTGCCCCTCCCCTGCTCATGCTCTGTCTCTCTGTCTCAAAAACAAATAAACTATAAAAAAATTTTAAAAAATGGAATTAGACCCTTGAAATGGCATATCATCTTCCCACAAAATTAATCTACCTAATTTTTTTTTATCATCCTTCTATATTCTTGCTGAAAATATAATCACAGTATTATTGATATCCTTGTATAAATACAGACATCAAGACTGGACAAGACTGAATGCAGAGCTGACAGAGCTCTGCTTGGTCATCTTGTTTTATAGGATTCCTTAATTCCTTCAATTATTTAGCAACCTTTCTCATATATAGTATGTGGAACATATTTATAAGTGGTCAAAATGTAAAAATGACCTACATGGCCCCTCTATGATGCTTATAGTCTCAACGAGTAGAAAGAGTTGTATTCAAATGTTTATAATATGTGGCAAAAACCGCACACTGCAGTCACGGTGGGTATATATGGCTCAAGACCTGCTCTGATTAATCTGCTTAAAATGAGGAGAGTGGTCTTTGAGGACCAGTGGGCATGTACAGTAGCCATATTTTAATTAAGGATTAGAACCAAAAAAGTTTTTGGAGGTCGTTCTAAAGTTTCTCTTCAATGGCTTAAGAAAGGTTTCGAGTTCAAACAGGGTCATTGGATTTTTATTTCTTGCTGGGTTCCTTAATGAATGTTAACCTCAAAGTTGGGTTGTTAAACAAATATTTGGATTTAATTTGAACATTAAAAACTTTGTTCTTCAGTTTGGCTCTTATACCTGCTCTGAATAACAATATAATATTTAAGGACTCCTCTCATACTCCCCAAAAAGTCTATGTTAAGATTTAAGAAGTTACATTGAGAGTTTTGAGTGGCTATAGGTGAAATGATACACGTTTCCTTACAGCTTGGTTTAAGAATGTTAAGAGGTTTTATCTCCTTAAAGTGAGTTGGTTATATTTTGAGAGTATAACAAAGTCATCCATTTTTTAAAGCCTCTTTAAAAAAGTCATGAAATACTATTGATAGTTCAAATGACACCTCAGGGGGGAAATTAAAGACATTTGCCCTTTGTCCTTGGGCTTGAGTAGGAAAAAAGTTTTAATCCTCCAGAACCAAGGGGAAAAGATTATCCGGGTAAAATGTAAGATAAAGGGCAGAGATTACACTCTACTCCTCTGGAGGAATTTGTGTGATTATATATAGGGAACCTTGGCAGTTAAATGGCTGTAATAATATGAAGCTGAACCGTAATATTTCTGACTATTAAATACGGTATTAAAAGTTGATCTGTTTTGGGGCACCAAGACGGCTCAGTTGGTTAAGCATCTGACTCCTGATTTTGGCTCAGGTCATGATCTCACGGTTTGTAGGCTCGAACCCACAGATCAGGCTCTGTGCTGGCAGTATGGAGCCTGCTTGGGATTCTCTCTCTCCGTCTGTCTCTGTTCCCATTTGCTCGCTCTCTCTCTCAAAATAAATAATAAACATTTAAAAAAGTTGAATTGTTTTGTCATGGTAACTATAACAGTGTCCTCTATCTGAAAGGAGAAATTACAAAGAAAAAAAAGAGCTAGTTATTTATCCCCAAAAGCCTCCAGTGGTTTTCTCCATGTCTTTGTCCATTCAGGCTGCTGTAACAAAATATCATAGACTGGGTGGTTTACGAATTACAGACATTTTTTTCCTCACAGTTCTGGAGGCTGAAAGTCCAAGATACAGGGGCTGGTAGATTTGATGTGTGAAGAGAGCCTGCTTCCCGGTTGCCGACCGCTAACTTCTCAGATGTATCCCCACATGGCAGAAAGAGAACTAACTCAGCAGGGTCTCTCTTTTTTTTTTTTTTAATTTTTTTTTTAATGTTTTATTTATTTCTAGGAGAGAGAGAGAGAGACAGCGTGAGCAGGGGAGGGTCAGAGAGAGAGGGAGTCACAGACTGAAACAGGCTCCAGGCTCTGAGCTGGCAGTCAGCACAGAGCCTGACGCCGGGCTTTAACCCACTAACCGCGAGATCATGACCCAAGCGAAAGTCTGACGCTTAACCGACTAAGCCACCCAGGCGCCCCAGCAGGGTCTCATTTTTAAGGGCACAAATCGCATTCATGAAGGCTCCATCCTCATGACCTAATCACCTCCCAAAGGCCCCTTCCTAATACCATCATCACATTGGAGGGTAGGAATTCAACATATGAATTTGGGGTGAGGGGGCACAAACATTCGGTCTGGGGCACCCCTTAACCTTGAAGACACCGGAAATTAGAACTGAGAGCTCGCAGGAAGATGAACGACTTTCTAGCCATTAGCACTCACTCCCCTGTTCTTCCCCTCTCCCAAACTGGTCTTTTCTACCTGAGAGAATGGTGCCATCACCATCCATTCAGGCAGAGACCTAAGAGTCATCTTTGGCATTTTCTGCTCCCTCAGGTAAGGTCGAATTTATTGCCAAATCCTTTCCATTCTATCCCTAAACATTCCTCCAATCGACCTGTCGTCTTCTGTCTCTCTCACCACGTTAGCCCAGAGGCCATCATCACCTCTTGTCTGAAGCATTGTAGTAGCCTTCTCATTTGTCTTCTCTATCCACTGCTGTCCTGTCTGATCAGTTCTTCACACTACAGGAGACACAAACCTGACAGGAGACAGGAGACTCCCCAGACCCATGCTTATGTTCTTGCATTGGCTCCTACTCATTTGTATGATAAAGACAAACTTACTGCACATGGAAGGCCTTGTGTGGTGTGGCCTTGACCCTCTCTCCTGCTGCACACGTGCCTTGCCTCCTTTTGCTCTCTGAACCCTGGCTACAGTGCCCTTCTTCTACTTCTCCCTGTCACCCTGCCACTTCCCAGCCAGGGCCTTTGTTCTAATTGTCCCACTAGCCTCCCTCAGTTAATATCCACTCTTCCTTCAGATCTTAATTCAATCTTAAGGCCCTTAGGGCAGGCTTTCTGACTTTCCTATCTTGGAGGCATTGTGTAATTCTCCTTTGATGTACTTATCCCAGTAGTAATTTTGCATATATTTTTAAAAACGTATTTATTATTTGAGAGAGAGAGAGTGAGAGTGAGCTAGCATGGCGGGCGGGGGCGGCGGGGGGGAGAGAGAGGCAGAGAGAGAATCCCAAGCAGGCTCCACATTGTCTGCACAGAGACTGATGTGGGGCTCGATTCCATGAACATGAGATCATGACCTGAGCCAAAGTGTCAGTTGGTTGTTCAACCAACTTAGCCACCCAGGAGGCCCAGTTTTGCATGTATTTGCATGTATTAGCATGTTTGATTCCCAGTATTTCCTGGATGACTAGCAAAGTGCCTGTAGGATGGGAGGCACTGAATATAAGTTTGCGGAATTGGTTCATAGGATGGGGTTCCTGAACAGCGGTGGGGAAGGGATTAGGAGGATAATAAATGCTATCCTGAGACAGAAATGCTTGAAAGAATCCTCAATGTTAGCTTTCGAGAGGAAGAAATTTAAGACATTATTTTTTATATGTATTTGTTTGTTTCTCGTGTGTCTCACAAGGCCTATACAGCTAATTTGCAGAGAAAAATGGAGGTGCACTTGAGACATTCCAGAGGAAATAACCATTGCTAATGGGAAAAATTTCAAGGAAAGGTTGTGATACAACCATGATGAGTTTTCTAAAAATGAGAGGGAGAGGAATGGGCCACCTTTTGCAGAGGCAGGATATCTCCTTGGGAGATGCTGTAGTGCTGGTTTCTCCATCATGAAAGAGAAAATTAAATGACTTATTAAACTCCTTCCAGTCAAGGACTCTAGTGCAGCGAGCAATAGAAAGGTGGACAATTCAGATACCTAAGGAACAAAGACTGGGTACTGGTGCATAGTTAGAATTTGTTTGTTTTATTTGGTTAGTGGTAAATACTCCTCAATCTGAGCATGTTTCTCCAGAATCTAAGGCCAAAGAAGAGAGAATCAAATGTCTCTGTAGATTCAGGTAGCATATACCCCTCTATCAAGGAAAGGAAGTGTAGCTATATCCAGAAAACACCTCTGGTGAAAAGCTTATGCACCAGTGACTAGCTTTTCTGAACCTGACTGACCACTGAACTACTTGTACCCATAGTTTTATGGGTTTTAAAACCCCCTCCATGTAAGGATAGATAACTGTGTATACTTACGCAGTCATTGATGAACAGGGACATTGAGAAATTTCAGGTATTTTGTAGTATTTTAATCACTTTTTTCTCTTAATATCAAGTCTCTTTAACCTTCCACTCCATTTTCCTGAATTTAATGCTGACAAGTTCATGTTTAATTTGGTCCTTTCTGAAGGGGTTTCATCTTTCTTGTCCATATCATCATAGGTCATCTATAACTTTTATGAAATGTTAGACATGGCTGGGAGATAAATGGATGCTATGTTGACTTTTGAGCTATTTCTAATCCTGTTATCTGCTCTTAAACTTTCCTAATCTACTGTGCAAATGTTTTGAAACACAGGAGTCAGTAAACAGAGGAACACCAAAAGCTTTTTCTTTGAAATAAGCACATTAACTCAAATGTAGAACCCATTTCTGTGAACTACACTGTAGCTTCTTATGCACATTACTAAATTTGCTACCCTATTCCACTCCTTAGTTTGCCTGCAACATTTTATTTGCTAACTTTTGTTCAGAATGGAAGATGACGTATTTTCTCACTTCGTTCGACAGTTCCATGCTTTAACAGAAAAAGAAATGAACTTCCCACGTATGTTGTACTGCTCATAATTTGCTATGAAGAGAGCAGGGGAAAAAAATGCGCTGGCATTATTTCTTCCCTGCTCATCCTAAAGGCAGCATATAAGAAAGGCTATTTCAAGACATACAACTTGGGATGCCTGGGTGTCCAACTTTGGCTCAGGTCATGATCTCACAGTTCATGGGTCAAGCCCCACGTTGGGCTCTCTGCTGTCAGCACGGAGGCCACTTCAGATCCTCTGAAACTGTCTCTCTCAAAAATAAATAAATAAACATTAAAAAAAAAAGGCCTACAATTTGGATTATGCCTTCAAGAAAAAGGAATTTTACATTTTTATTAAATGCCTTCTATGTGCGAGGAACTTGACAAGTTTCTTTACAGATATTGCCATTTAATCTTCATAGTAACTTTACAAAATTGGTGATATTAGTCCCAATTTATGGATGAGACAGCTGAGGTTTAAAGTGGGATTGCTGGAACATACTTAAAAGCGATGGAGTAAGATTTTAGCTCTAGGTTGGCTGGTCTGTCTGACTCCAAATCCTGATTCACTACCTCATAATGAGCTACTTTCCACAGATAGTGTCTCCTTCTCCCCTACTTCCCCTCACTCTTTCCTCTCTTCCTTCTTTCCATCATATTAGATTTCCTGTCATTTCTTAAGATATAGGGGTTAAAAATAAAACTATTGTAACTACTCTCCAGGTAAAACACCTTAAATCTTTTTAGAGAGAGATCCACATTTTTGAGAGGTATTAACAAACAAAATTCAGCTGAGTCAATTTTAACTACCTTACCAGCTTTATTCAATGATTCATGAATTGGGCAGCATCCCTTCCAGCAGGTAAAAGCTCTGTGGAGTTGTACAAAATGAAAGACTGTTACAGGCAGAAGGGAGAGGGACAGGAACCTATGCTAGTCGAAAGTGGATTACGGGGCGTCTGGGTGTTTCAGCTGGTTAAGTGTCCAACTTTGGCTCAGGTCATGCTCTCACAGTTCATGGGTTTGAGCTCCACATAAGGTTCTGTGCTGACAGCTTGGAGCCTGGAGCCTGCTTTGAATTCTGTGTCTCCCCCTCTGTTTTTGCCCCTTCCTCTGCTTATACTCTGCCTCTCTCTCTCTCTCTCTCTGTCTCTCTCAAAAATAACTAAACATTTTTTTAAAGAACTGGATTGATTGTGGCAAGGTCATATTCCTTCAGGGGACGGCAGGGGTCTGCCCATCAGGCAGATTACCTCACTAGTGCTGACCAGGTGATTCCAGGTTGACTGATTTATGATTCCTTTCCTGGGAGATGCTGAAACTGTAAGTTGGGTATCAAGTCTCAGTCTGCTGATATGGGCTTAGCATAAGTGACTCTATTGGGGGCCTATTGTCTCTTTCTTGACAATTCCCCCCTTTTGATAAAGTTTTCAGCCTGAGAGAAGTGATTCAAATTTAAAGCATTGGTACTGCTCCTAGCTACTGTTCTGAAGTTCTCACAATTTTTGATCTTCTTTGTGGTATTTACACATTGTGGCATCTTTCTGCTGGACCTTTGTGGTAGTCACAGGTCATGACTTCAGGTTCACATTTTCTAAGTTGGTAATTCTCTTTGCTCCTTTCCTGATGTTCAAGTCTTAGGGAGATCATTTGCTTGTTGGCTAGTGGCTGGGAACAGGCATTTAAAGCTTTTGAGAGAATATAGCACATCAGCAAGGCTACTATGATTATTATAAGAAGGATAATTCCCAATGTCTGGAATGCACTTTGGAGCTGTGGTCCCCGAAGACTCAAACCAATCAAAATCACTTAAGTTAAAGAAAGATCCCATTGAAGGAGTCACTTTCTTTCTCTTTTTTTCTTTTAGCTTTTTTTTTTTAATGTTTATTTATGTTTGAGAGAGAGAGAGAAAGAGAGAGAGAGAGAGACAGAGCATGAGTGGAGGAGATGCAGAGAGAGGGAGACCTAGAATCTGAAGCAGGCCCCAGGCTCCAGGCTCCATGCTGTCAGCACAGAGTCGGACACAGGACTCATGGCTCGAACTCACAGATAGAGGGATCATGACCTGAGCTGAGGTTGAAGGATTAACCAACTGAGCCACTCAGGTGCCCAGAGGGAGTCACTTTTTTAAGCTAAGTGGCTTATTCAGTGATCTTATGTAGCTGTTTCACCTTCCCCAGAAGTGTTAATCTGAGTGCAGCACGTGGTGTTTGCTGCAGACACCTCCTTGCTCAGATGAAAGATAATCAAAGGCTATTCTATTATCAAGAACATCGTTGGTCAGAGAGTCTAAGGATTTTTGTTGGACAGCTATTAATTCAGCAACAGATTCTATAATATCTCCAAGAGTTAAGGAGAGGTTCCTAATCAGATTTTACTATCGATATCTATAGTTTGGGTGAATTTCTCTCTTCTGAAGGTCTCCCAAATATCCTGAGGTTCCTGGGCCTGCCAGGAAGTGACTTTCCCTACTCATCTAGTAAAGCTACTGGGAACCCTGTAAGCAAGGTACCAGACCAGGTCAATATTTCAGAGGGGCTTTATTGGCTCCATAAAGTCAACCTTAGGTCTTTAAAGCTATCTGGTCATATCCGAGTCTATGCATGTCTCTCTCAAATATGACACTCCAGTCAAAGCCTGGGCAATATAACCCGTGCTCCAAATGGTGCCTTGTTACAAGGAGAACAGATTCTTACTGAACTTATGCAAATAACTAACTGTATTGCCGTGAAAAGAATACTCAAGAGTTTCTGAATTCTGGAGGGATTGGGTAGGGAGGAAAAGTAAATGTTTTATCTTTGTTTACGAAGTTATGCTTTACCAAATTGCTCTAAGTCATAGTTCACTTAGGAGAAAAGGTTTCTTTAAATCTGGGGTGAGAGGACATTAAGGAACAAGCATTGTTATTGAGAAAAAATCATAAAAAATTACGTTCTTTCAGTCCTGTGTAGTCAATAGTTCTGCTTGAATCCAATTTTTCCATTAATTCTTCAAATTCTTACCCAGTTACTCTTATATCTTAAAGTCATTAGACACCTGTAACTGTCAAAGTCTTTTCTATGAATTTCCTTGAAGATAGAGCACTTTTGCAAACACTTCAGAGTAAACAATAACAGTAAATGCTGAAAGACTTTAAAATGGTCATGGTTGAAGACCTAGTGACAGCTCATTTTAATGCAATTGGTAAAGAAACTTGGTTATTTCTGTGACATAAACCATTTTAAAATATGAACTAGATTTATGACTAATAACATTATATCAGCACATATCAGATTTCTAGGAATATCATATAATTTCCAGAACACTTAAATTAATAACATACATTCATAAAAATATAGCTAAGAAGATTTAGCATCACCTCTTATTTGATAATGTTTCCCATGTAATTTAACAAATCAAATAAACCTAACTAGTTTAACTTCTCTATTGTTACAGAGATAGAGAAAAAAATCATTTACAAATTTCCAGGGACCCTTTAGAAAATTCCAAAGTTACTTCCAGCTCAAATAAACTTCATTTAGAATTTGATTTTGGGGAATTCTGTCAAAAATATTAACATATTTAAAAACACTTGGTCAAGTAGGATCATAGGCCGCTGTGAAACATATTTAATTACCCATTTCATCATATTGCTAATTAAAGATTTTTTGCAGGTAAATACAGCAAGTTAAATTGTAAACAAAACAAAACTTTAGTTCTTTTAATAGATAAGACTTGTCTTTCTTAAGTAATCAAAGACCTGAGGAAGACAACAAGAAATACAGGAAACTATTTTGATAAAACACAAAATCTTTGTTTTCAAGGCAGGTTACTTAAAAAGTAAAGAAAAACTTTTCAACAATCTCTTATTATCAAGAACAGACCAATGGACTAGGAAAACTTTATCCTTTTAGCAGAGGAAAGAAAATTAAATTTTAGTTTTAGTTAAGCATATGTACATTATTGATATCAAAGCTTATTTTAAGAAAAACGTTTAAGTCCATTCAATTTTAGCCAACTGACTACACAAGATAAAACTCTCTCTCCTTTCCTCTCTTTTCCACTCTGAAACAGCCAGGACAAATTCACTTATTTATTTTTTCCCTAAGAAAAACACATCTCTATACCTCATAATTTCTCTTAGCCAAAATAAACATCCTACTTTTCTTCACAATTATTTCCCTTATTACTTCTAGTAGCTTCAATTACATATATTAGCATTTTTACCTGTTAAGTTTTGAATTTCTAGTGAAAATAAAGAAGTAAACAATTATGAACAGTCTGTCACACCAGCATTCTTTGGTAAATTCACGAGCACATTTCATAATGTCTAGAAATATACACTTCCTCATAGTAAATTTTCCAGTGTGTCACAAGATATGTCTACTTAAAAACCCAAATATCTTTAGTTCCTTTGTAATAAGAAGCCAGAAGTAGGTAAACTGTGTTTAGTAATTAATATTTCACTATTTTATCATATTTGAAAATGGTCTAGATAGTCAATGAATTTAACCTAACTCATCATTTAACTTAGCTTAGCAAAACTTTTATACTTTCAAGTCACCAAAATGGTTTGGAAACTGTTTTCTAGACAAACATACCTTAAAATAGAATTTTTGCTGAACATTTCACCTAAAAACTCTTATCCCATTTACATCTATTCAATTCAGTTGTTCTTAGCAATTATATCTAAACTACTTAAGGAAACTTCATGAGACATTAGACAAAATAAGCCATCATCTCAAGCTTTTTTTCTTTTTTTTTGCTGACAAATTTTGTAAGAGATAACATGAACTTATTTGACATTTAATAAACCCAGGTAGAATAAAAGTACCATATTTAAGGCTAATGACTCTAAAGACATGCCTGTTTCAATTAAACTAACAAATTTAAACTAGTTTTTATTACTAAGGATTAATCCTTGATCTACAAACTTGAAAAACATTTAGGTTAAGTTGCTTAAATTTCTGAGAATTTTAGGGATACTTAATTCATGTAAGTGCTTAATGTTCTTTCAGCCAATTAAATAGAGTTGTTTTACAAATTAATTTTGGCAATATCACCCAGATGTAGGAAAATATACACATCTACAACACAATTTATATATAGACACACATAAACATACAGATAGAGACAGAGAACTTATGGCTTTGGTAACAAATAATACAGAACTTATCAGTTATTTAAAAAAAAATATTTTATTTTTAAAGTAAGCTCTACACCCAACTTGTGGCTTGAAATCATGACCCTGAGATCAAGAGTACCATGTTCTATCAACTGAGCTAGTCAGGTGCCCTCAAAACTCATTAGTTATAAATGACGATGGATTCAAATTGCATTGCTGGCAGATGGAATAAGTTATGTTTATCTGCTCAGATAGCTACAGTTGTTTTTTTAACTAGTATTTGTGGAACAGACAAGATTTTTTTATTCACCTAAGTTTTAAGTTCCAAACAGCCTTTCCCTCTTTTTCCCTTCTGATGGGAATTATTTCCCTGAACTTTGCTTTTCAAAGAGATGGCCTAGATAAAAGTTCCTGGAAGAGAACAGGTAGGACATTCACATATTAAAGCACAGGGAAAGAATATAAGTTCTTCCAAGAAGAACTTCTGTTTCATAAGGCCAGAATTTTTACAATAATTATAAGCCTTTGGAGATGAAAAAGGGAAATTTGGGGATTGGCATAAAGGGTAGGTGGACTTTGAATTGTTTTTAGAGCTGTATTTCTGGTTTTCAAAGTTTTCTTTTTTTTTTTAATTTGTTTTTCCCAAAATTTATTTATTTTTGAGAGGAAGAGAGACAGAGTGTGAGCACAGGAGGAGCATAGAGAGAGGGAGACACAAAATCTGAAGCAGACTCCTGACTCTGAGCTGTCAGCACAGAGCCCGATGCAGGGCTTGAACTCATGAACCATGAGATCATGACCTGAGCCAAAGTCAGATGCTTAACCGAATGAGCCACCCAGGTGCCCCCCAAATTTTCTAAGATAAGGACAGTTGCTTTTAATTCCTCAAAGAACTAGGTTGTAGCCTAGATATCAAGGGGCTGAACCATTCATCCAACTACATTATCTTCGGTTTGCCCCTTTATATCAAGGAGATCATCAACTAAGATGGAAATCAAAAAGATTCTTATGTTCTGGATTTAGAGCTGTCTTTGGGATGCTTTAGTAAATCCCTTCATGAAGATTTCAGAATGTTTATTTCCCTGTGGGTACATTTAGTTCAGAAAAGGCATTTAAAAAGTTATGTCAGGCTCTGAATATCTGCTTCCAATTTGGCCAATTTCTGACCACAGAGCAACTTTGAAAAAAATCCTTTCAGATATCTTCTCAGTTTTCAGCTGCGACAAAGAGTGAATATTTCTGGCAATATTGAACAGCTCCTTGGATGCAAGAGGCATCCCCAAAGAGGGGACAAAAGATATTATCCTCCCAAGATCCAGAGCCACTCCCAAAGACAGCCAAGAGAAAGAAAGAATAAGGTAATTTCTCTGAGAGCTGGCAGCAGTTTGGTAGGATCCCAGATGTAAATGGAGTTTAACTCACATTTCTGTCCAGCCATATCCAACCGTAAGTGGGGTACAACCCACATTTCTGTCTGGCTATATTTTGGGGTTCTCAACCTGCAGTTACCAAGCCAAGTTATTAGGACATAAAACAAAACAAATAGGAAGGTAATGGCGGTGGCTGGGAGAAAAGAGATTCATACCAATGAGTCTGGATTTGGAGAGGAAGGGTCAGCATGAAATTTTATTCTCCTCCTTCCACCAGGCATTATATATAGAGGTTTGGGAGAGCTGACTCTGGTAAGAATTCTCACCCTTTTCTGGCTTCTGCCGACTTTGCCAGGATGCCACATTTAGGCTCCAGTATTTATCATAATGTGGTAAAGTTTTCCATGAATTTTAATTTTAGTTTCCCTTGGCTGTTTAGAGAAATAACATGGCAGTTTCCAGAAAATCCCTCAGAATCCTGTCAACTCTATAAGGGTCCATTATAGGAGTCCTCCTTCCAAGGTAGATACGGGGACATCTGTAAATGTCATCTGACTACCTTGTCAGACTTTTGTTAGCAGTCTTATAGTCTCTTCAGAGTGGAAAGATAATTCAGATACAAGATTACTAGAAAGAGTACTCAAGTACAGGATAGAGGAGAGTGGTAGGAGTTAAGTCAGTCTTATAATCTTTTGTTTTGAGTGCCTCTTAATCTTTAATTTCATATTAGCCTTTTGCAACAAATCTTTCAATGAAGATACTTTGAAAATTTGGAGACTTTTGAAGCCTTCTTCATGCCAATGACAATAGGTATCCAATGCTGTTTGATTTAGTAAGATTTTCTAAGATTTCCCCATTTTTGTAGATATCTGCAGTTTCTGGGACCATAGTTCTTAGACATAAAATAAGCAGGTGTGCTAAAAAGTGGCACACTCAGTTCTTTGGAACTTAAGGATCCTATTTCTTTAGCTACACCTTGGGTCTTTGGGAACCAAATTTATACCTAAAAGGGCTGTGATGCCAGGTTGAAGAATGTGTGGTGTTTTACAGCGTACCTTATTGCACAGAAATTTTAAAGTGCTTGACTCATGTGGAACAACTTTGTGGCTTTTGCCTTGTGAGATTCTCATTAGCAATGGCCTCTACCTACACAAAACAATAGGAACAAGCATGTGCAAAATAATACACCAGAAGTAACCAAAGAGATGTTACTGCAGACTGACCAATAAAAGACCTTATGTGTACCACCGGCAATTCTCAACATGAAACTGGGGGACTGGGGAAAGGACTGAACCAGCCCACCCCGACAAATAGGATCTGGGGACTAGGATTCCAATTAAATGAGGAACTATGGACAAAACAAGGGCTAATGATTTGGGTTCCAGGTAGAACCTTCTGCCAGCTCAAGCTGACCTAAGTCCTAGACTGAGAATTGTGGACTGAACCAAGGGCTGAGCACTGTCATTCTTTTAGAGTCTTCAGTCTGTCTAAACTGACCCATTGGCCTGGACTTAGAAAGCTCATTAGATCCTGAGCTCAATACAAAGACAGCAGAGCTCGGAACTAAGAGGCATTTATTCACAGTCCTCAGAAATGGTGAGAAAGACAGTTCAAAGGGTTCATGGATACCAGCGCCTGTGTTTCCTGTCCCAGAATCCACCAGAAATTTCCTTTGGATCCCTTGCTGCCAACAAATCTGTTAAAAAACAAAATTCAACTGAGTGAATTTTAAAGACCCTATTGGCTTTAGTTAACAATTTGTGAATTGGACAGCACCCCAACTAGATCTGAGAAGTTGTATAAAATGAAAGACTTCTACAGAAAGAAGGGAAAAGGGTAAAGAAGTTGTACTAGGAGACAAGCAGATTGGTTGTGGCAAGGTCATCTTCCTTCAAGGGACGGCAGGGGTCTATCTGGCAGATTACCTCACCAGGGTTAACCAGGTAATTCCAGATTGACTAATTTAAGATTCCATTCCTGGGAGATGCTAAAACTGTAATTAAATTATGTACTAGGTCTCAGTTTGGTGTCATGAGACTTAGCATAAATGACTCCATTTTGGGCCTGCTGTCCCTTTTTTTAACAGAGATTTCAAAGTTACTCAATTTGGGGGAACTTCTCTTAAGAAAAAGAATACAAAATTGTAACTGTTAAATCAGAGATATAGTGACTATTAGAATAGAATAAGAAATAACAACAAATTGCAAATTTTGGTGACAAATTTGAGATCACAAAATCTGGAAAAATATGTGTTTTAACTAATTAACTAATGCATCCTAAGATGTTTTGTTCGTACATTTTTGGGCTTACAGGTTCTTTAATCACCAGTTCACATGACAATGATTTTCTAATAGTCTCCAAAGAGATAAAAACAAATAATCCTGACATTCCTTTAACATATTTAATTTATATTTGCTTTTTATTAGAGTATGAAAAAGGTCCATAGACTAGTGTCTGGATCTCTTTCTACACCCACATACTTCAGGTGCTGGGCACCAGTGGATACATTTATATAAAGATTTCAGGCCTTGTGATTTAGAATAGCAGGAAGAAGAAATATTCTTGGATGTCCTTTGTCTACCAGGACAGCCAGTAATAACTGTACACAGATATGAGCACACACCACATCTGTATAAATGAAATCCAAATCCAAGTGAAATTTAAACATATCTCCATCTCAACTTTTTGCCCTTGGGCTCTGCAACACTACTTAATAGGAGAATTGTGATGGAGGAAAACTCGGCAAAAAGAGTAACTGTATAATCAACTGCAGTAAAAATATCCTTTGCAACTTTCACCAAACTGTA